AGAGGCTCCGGCTTTGGGGCTCAGAGCAGCCTCCGTGTTAAATTCCCTGCAACGTGAAATCAGACAAAAGTACTGCACCCCAGGTATTCGCCCTGGCCAGCTGACGACGTGCACAGCGAGTTTCCCCCGGTTGCCCAGATTTTCCTGGGGTTGTGCCCGACTCCCTGGAGGCTTCTGGCGCTCGCCCCGCGTGTTCTTCCCAAGCGGTGGGGCACTGCGGGGGCTCCCGCCTCTCCAGCGCTCACGGAGATGGGTCCGCAGTCCGCTAGGCTCTTTTCCTCTGTTTTCTCACCTCCCGGGCCGGGGTGAGGAGAGGTGAGGCGCAGGGCACCGGGGGGACTTGTCCGCTGAGCCGGTTGGGAGGACCAGGGTCTGGCTGTGTGATGTGCGATGAAACCTGCACCGGAGGGTGGCCACCAGAAAGGCTCCCGCAACTGAGGCCTTCGCGGGGATGTTATCTTGGAGCTCCTGAGAACCTGCTCGCCCTGACCTCCGTCCTCAACCGGGACAGCGGAGAAAGTGTCCCTTTGGGGCTGTTGCCTAGTGGGGATGTGCAGAATAATCCCCCTTGCTCAGAAAAGTCACAGGCATTAGGAGGAAAATAAAAACGAAAACCACAACCAGCCTAACCAGCGCCGCAGCCGGTCCCTCGGAGGGGCTGGAGGAGAGGGGGCGTTCTCACTACTGACGGTGCCTTCGGTCAGCCGGGGGTCTTCGGTACCCCGGCTCTGGAGTTTCTAGACCTGCCTGGAGGCCTGAGGCAGCGAGAGCCACTCTCCGGAGCGCTGCGCTAAGCAGGCCCGCCCCGCTCTCCTCAACCTTCCCGAGCCGCCCCCTAACCCCGCCTTGAGGTCTCCGGGTCCTCTTCAGGTCTACGCCCAAGGGCTCCCCGAAATCTCTCGGTGCCCCCACCCTTTCTCCCCGAAATGAGGGTGGGATTTTATTTATATTTAAGTTCGCAAAATTGAAATCTTTATCCCACAAGCGAGCGTGGGTACTTAATTAAATTCTAATTAGGACACTATCAATATCCTATTTAGCCGCGTAGCTTTTGTGCGCCGCGGTCCCTTTCAGCGCCGTAAATAGGGTCTCGACGCCTTATCTCGCCTGCAGGAGACGCCTCGAGAAGGGCTGCGGAAGATAATTTATAGGTTTTAATTACTCTTCATTCCGCCTGATCAGCTTGGCGTTCATCACAGGCCTGTGAATAAAACGCTGGTCAAAAGCTCTGTCACATCGCGCTGGCAAGACGCTTAATCAAAGTGAGCGGCCCCGCGCGCCGCGCCG